GGTGGTGCCAGGTGGGCCCAGCCTCTGGCAGGGACTCTCATCAGGTCCTAGGAACTGTCCTGAGTGAGATGTACAGTGAGGCTGCAGAGAAGGTTGGGTCTCTGACTCTTGAGTCATCAACCTTAGTAGTCCTCTAGTCAGGAACAGAAGGAAAATCAAGTGGAGGGGATGTCTGATTGATCTACCTGCCTTCTTGGGCTCAGGGGGAAGAGACCTCCCTGAGGCAGGATTCCCTGTCCTTTCAGTCCTGAGAATCGAGGATGGTAGGAAATGGTGCTCTGAACTCTCCTCCACTCCCCCAGGCACAGAGGTTGAGGTGGAGGGCAAGTCTCCAGATGTGGAATCCTATTCCTTGTGTTTACTTTGAGGACGTGGGGTGAGAGAAAACATGGGAATTTTGCTTCCCATACAGTTCCTGGAGAGGGTTAATCACATAGGAGAACAGCCCTTTGGGACAAATGTGAAATGATTTGGGCAGAGAGACATTATAGAAATATGTGTACTCATGATCTGCTTATGGAAACAGAGAACAGGGATGCCTGGAACCTACGTGCTGTGATCTGGGGTGAGGCTAGTTTCAAGGTTAGGAGGATGGTGTGACATAAGGGGAAAGGATAGAAACCACCACCCTGCTAGTGAATCTCTGTGGCCTCCTGCCCCTCAGGGGGAACTCATAGGCAGCTGCCCTGCTGGCTGGCTCTGGATTTTCTGTGCCAGGTGCGTGGGGCCTCTCATCTATTGGGATCACCTGGCAGGAGAAGGCGTCATTTTGTAGCCAATGGGCCCAATCTGGAGACCTTTTTCCCAGCCATCCAAATAGAGATTTGTAGATGATGTGAGATGTAACCTACTTGCATTAGGAGGTTTATGAACTCTGGAATTCAAGGTCAAGCTCCATCTCCGCCCTTACGTGACAAATGTCTTTCGGCAAGTTACTTAGCCTCTTTCTGCCTGTTTCTTAATCTGTAAAATGGGGAAGGTAATAACCTATCACAGGGCTATTGTGAGATTTATTTATTTATTTGAGACAGAGTATCATTATGTCGCCCTCAGTAGAGTGCCGTAGCGTCACAGCTCAGAGCAACCTCAAACTCTTGGGGTTAAGCGATTCTCTTGCCTCAGCCTCCCAAGTAGCTGGGACTACAGGCACCCGCCACAACACTCAGCTATTTTTTTGTTGCAGTTGTTCAGCTGGCCTGGGCCAGGTTCAAACCTGCTACCCTTGGTGTATGTGGCTGGCGCTGTAACCACTGTACTATGAACATTGAGCCCTATTGTGAGATTTGAAATGAAATGAAATAGCCATGTAAAGTAAGCTCACTGTCTAGCAGTTGTCAATAAATGATACAATTTGCTACATACGATACCAGGCAGTATCTCCAGAATGAAGCCATCTGTCTCATGTCTGCACTTCATCCAGGTGACTGAAAGTCCCCTGCCCACTGGACTGGGTCCACACTGATGACACTTGAACTACAAACCCTCCAGGCCTTCCTACCTCTATTCTACTTCATCTTATGTGCTAAATTCTCATGCTTCTCCTCTTTGGATTGTGAGCTCAATTAAGGGTACAGACTGCAGCTTCCTATTCACCTCTGTTACCCTGTCCATCACACTGCCTAGCCCACTAGATGACAGGCAAGTGTCTGCTGGACATTGACAGGACCGCAGAAGGCCGCTGTGAACCCCATTCTTTCGCAGCTGACACATCAGCAAGCTGTAATTCTATGAATTGTTAGAATAGAGATGAATTTTTCTAAGACTTTTAAGCTTGAGTCAAAATGATCTTGGAGGAGAGCTCTGTGTGCTTCATGGTACTAGGCGTAAGTAGACAGGATTTGGCTGAGGCTTTAAAATGACACCAAACAGGGTTATAGCCAAGAGGAAGCAGACTGAAGGGCCATGGGCAGACAGATGAGATGAGAAAGACCCAAGTGTGGACCATCCAGGTGGACAGTGAATGGATTATTCCATTGCCCTCTGGATGAGAATTCATATTTTCTACTTGTAATGCTTTTCTCAGCAAAACTAATGGAATGCCCAATTCACCAGAATGGCTGGTATTCTCCATATTGCTTTTAATCAAGAAACTAATTTTACAGCAAAGGAAGTAAGGCAATAGACCAAGTAACACTGGTTTTACAATAAACCTCACCAGGAAGTAGAAGCTGGATATTTAAGCTGGATATTTCTCCCTTTAAGAAGGGAGAAAGGGCTTAGTGAAGCCTCAGTTACAGCAGCATCTGGAAGGACAGTATCTTGAAAGGATGGGATACTAACTCAAAGGTTAGGCTTTCATGAGTTGTCTCCCCAATAACCAGAGTTCACAGTACCAGGAAGAGAGGGATAACAGTGGGAGTGGTCTCACACCTTTCCCCTTAACTTGGAGTTCTGCTGGTTTGGAAGGATTGGTTTTCCAATTAGGGGACACAGTGGCTCCACTGAATTGCAAATTGAGACTCACCTAGTTATTTTTGGCTCTTCAGGGCACTGAATTAACAAGAAAATAAGGGGATTATTCTACTAACTGGGGAGTGTTACCAAATTGCAGCTGTACACTAGGGGCAGGGAGAACTGCCTGGAACCCAGATTTCCTGGGGCCTCGCTTAGAAATAGGAAAAATAAATGGAAAACTATTATCAAATAAAGGCAGGCCAATTAATTAATTCAGACCTTTTAGGACAACCATAACAAAAAAAGAATCCTGACTAGCTGAGATCCTAGCTGAAGGCAAAGGAAATACAGAATAAGTAGTGGAAAAGGAAGTTATAATATTACCTACAGCCTCACGAGTCACAGACGATGTACATATTCTTTTTTTTTTTTTTTTTTTTTTTTGAGACAGAGCCTCAAGCTGTCCCCCTGGGTAGAGTGCCATGGCATCACAGCTCACAGCAACCTCCAACTCCTGGGCTCAAGCGAGTCTCCTGCCTCAGCCTCCTAAGTAGCTGGGACCACAGGTGCCCGCCACAACACCCGGCTATTTTTTGGTTGCAGCCGTCATTGTTATTTGGTGGGCCTGGGCTGGATTCGAACACCCCACCTTAGGTGTATGTGGCTGGCACCTTAGCCACTTGAGCCACAGGTGCCGAGCCCATATTCTTTCTTGATTGCTGTGTGTTTTCTTCTCTCTCATTATTTTGTGCAGTTTTGATAGAAGGCAACCTTATCATCTTTTAGTTTTTTTCATACTATTCTGTTCTACATTCTATTCAGTGGGACTTGACTGATTATAGGAGTCAATAAAGCCCAGAGAGTGATACAATGATTCAGGGGAGTCAGTGGATCTTATCAAGTTACATCTTATTGGGCAGGAACAGAGTTGCTTTGGTGGTGGGATGGAAGACTGTGCACAGATGCTAAGTGGCTAAAGGGAAGGACTGAGCCAGTTAAGCAGCTCTTTTTTTAGCTCTACTTTTGTGGTACCAGGGATAGAAGTCTTCAAGCCTTTCTGCCTGCCAGCTGGCATCCTGTTGGATTTTTCCAATAGGGTGCACATCAAGGAAGCTTCCATGCCTGAGGAAGGAACATGCCATGCTCCTTCCCATTCCAGTCAGCATCAAAGCAGCAGTTTGCCCCCACAGCCACAAGTGACTCCAGCTGCCCTTTTCAACTCACTCAGAATCAGCTTCGTTAGTGCTTTTTCTTGAGACAGTCTCACTTTGTCACCCTTAGTACAGTGCAGTGGCGTCATAGCTCAAAGCAACCTCAAACTCTTGGGCTCAAGCGCTTCTCTTAGCCTCCCAAGTAGCTGGGACTACAGGTGCTGGCCATTAACATCCGGCTATTTTTAGAGATGAGGTCTTGCTCTGGCTCAGGCTGGTCTTGAACTCGTAAGCTCAAGTGATCCACCCACCTCGGCCTCCTAGAGTGCTGGGATTACAGGCATGAGCCAGGTCTTAATGACACCAGTGCCAGATGAGAAGCCCCCTCCTCAGGGCTCTTCTTGAAGTTGCTGCCTCCTCAATTTTTGTTTTCTCTGTTGCTGTTTTAGTTTCTGTGCCAACAGTTCTTTATATCAAGTTAAAATAACTTGCATGGTTTCTGTCTCCTATTTGGACCAAAATTGAGAGACAGAGAAAGATTTCTATCTACTGAAAGTAAGTTTCAAGACTGTGTCTTTTTTTTTT